CAAAGTATTCAATACAAATAAGTACTCAATACAAAAAAAAGTATTTAAAATACCATTCAAAATACTTTATGCTGAAAGTATTTAAAAAGTTATTCAATACTTAAAAAAGTATTTGAATACTTTTACTCAAATACTTTACAGGACTGTAAGCACAACAACTAATGACCAACAACTATTGAATTACCTTGAAATGTTGTTATATTAAATTAATAACGTGATGGTAAATAATTTTTAACTCCAATGATGCTTATTTAGTCCATATAGCGTAGATATAGAATATATTATCAATATAAATAATAAATAGTTATTTGTAATTTGGATTCATTCGTGAGATATATGTGTGGCTGCAGTATATATACATATATTTGTTGCATATACAATAATTATTTGAAGTGCATTTACTTATTTAATATTGTTTTTATACTACCTATAGTAGGTATATGATACTTGCAATGTCGTATTTTTAATGCACCTCTCTTTATTGGGGTTGGTGTAGGGTTGATATGTTAAGCCGGGACGAATATTTTTTTTTTTTTTTTATTGGAAAAATCATACTACTTCTTCATGTCTAATCAACAATTTGAACATCATATTTTCTGTAACAAACAATTGATATAGTTGGAATGGGCAGAACTCTTACGTCTATTAACAACTTATACTTATGCTCATGAAGTAAAATCTAACTAAATTAAAATTGAAACATTTTTTTTTCCAATTTCGTGCGTTGCTTACTATAATAATGATAGTATAATTATATTTTTTAAATTTTTATCCATCAATCGATCATACTACATAATATAGTATATACATAAAAATTTTAGTTACGTTATATTATATTTAAACACAATGAAATCTCATAACATTTTACCACCCTTTAAGTTCCATCAATGGGGGTCAGCACTAAGCAATTTCCCATTCTAATTACCTAACCTGTTTGGTTACATCGCCTTCTTGAACTGCTTAAACATTTCCGAGGAAAAAAATGTGATTTAGATTTTAGATATTCACAATTGCATAGTGGTTAAACTCGTTATTAATATTTTTCTATGATTTATTTCATTTGTAAAAAATATTTCACCCACAAACCACAATATTGTATTTAGTATTTGCTATATTTTTAGTACTGCAATAGTATTATATGATTATAATTTATATTGTTGTGTTTCATACGTTGTTACTTATATAATATACGCATATTTATGCATGTTATTCTTTGGCAAAATTTAAATTAATCTGTGTACTTTTGTATTATATTTTACGTATAGGTAAATACTTTTTAAACGTTGAGTATGAAAAAAATACTGTGTTTTATAATATGATCGCAACGGATATTGACTCGGTGTTGATAAAAAACTGGCAAAACTATATCATTGATCGACGGTTAAAGTTATAAGAAGTAAAATATCTATAGTTTAAAATGCATGCATGTATTTAATCAAATACATTAATTAAATCATTACCTGGTTAAAATATAGAAGTGATCCAAATGTTCAATTCAATATAGGTATGAATATTCATAATAACTTTTTTTTTCAATTAATAAATGTAAAGTTTAACAAAACCATTCATGGGTGATTGCAATGGTGTACCTTTAATTATTAACTAACTGGTTTTTTTTTTTGTTCATTGTCAAATCATATCTATTTCAACAAAAATTGTAATGTTTAATGATGATTACATCATCCATAATCATTCTTAGTATTAATAAATCCAATGAATATTTATTAATTTTTATTTTTAAATAATTTACCTAGCATTTATAACCAAATATTATCATTTTTAAATTCAGTAAAAAAGATTTTGAATTCAATTTAATTTCAATTTGTATATTGCTTCTTTATACATTATACATGTATAACGTGTGCATTTATTACTATTTACTAATATTTAACTGGTTTTTACAAAAATATTATAACGTATTATTGTATACAGTTCTGTTTATCAATTACATTTACCATTTAAAATGTATATAGATTTATAGTGTAAAAAAAGTGTCTATAGATACAAATTTTACCGGCATGCCACAATAAATTACAACTAATAAGCAATAAGTGATTCACTCTGCCGAATTTCCGTCACTTCAGGATGGTTCCTTCAATCGTGTATTCGTGTTTATGTTATATATTCTTTTCTTTTTCCCATCTTTCTTGTGCAAAGGGTTTTTTTTTATAGGTGTGTTATATTATTTTTATTTTTAGAACGATGTATTATTATATGTATTAGCTTATGGCTAATAAACGATGTATAATTTAACAATTATTCGTATAGGGGACTTCTCGGACAGACTAAGACGTCATCGCCTGTGAAAATTTAGTGTCTTGAAATAAATGTCTGCATTAGGGGTTGATTCCCAGACAGGAAACAGTTTTTTTTTCGAAAATTAAATATTTAGTTCCGACACCTGAAATTTAAAATGTGGCATTTGATGTTTTTTGATTTTAGTCAAAACAACCTATCTAAAAGAATGCGCGTGTAGTGTGTACAGACAATATATTGTTTTGGGATTGGAGCCTCAGCAGTGTGAAACTGTCGGTTGGTTGTGCAGCTAGCGTATATTTTGGAAAAGAAAAAAGGAACGCGAAGAACTGCACACAAATCTCGGTCAGCGGTAGAAGGGTAGAGTGGGGTTAAGACGGGGTTGAATTGATAGTACGAGTATTTAATTTGAAAATGATAATAATATATTTTAACGCTGTTCGCCTATATAGTATAAACATTACGGCACGCGACAATGATAGTGCGGGTAACGTTGTGAACAGGCTGGCAGGTATAAAATGATTGGTAGGTACGCGTACTAACACCTATGCAATGTCTTACGACTGAACGCGCGCGCACCACCCCGCTGCGGACGTACGTGCATTGAGAGAGCGCGCGTGTGGATGCGTCGGGTGGGGATGCGGCGTTCGTGGCGGAGGGAAGGATGACGGGCCTCCGCTACCGGTGCTCGGGAGCGCTCCCATCGTCACAACGCGTTTGGCCGTGTGCAGGACGAGGAGGACGCAGCCGGGGCGCGCTCGATATCGTATATTATTATTGTATATCGCATTTGTACGTCGACGATTTTCCACGCGCGCGCGCCACAAAGCGTTTATATAGATCCTTTGAACGGCGGGTCGCACCCTCAGTCGTTCCTAGTACGCGGCTTGACGTGTAGCGGCGGACATATACGTAGGTACCTACCCACACCGTCGATCTTAGGTATTTTTGAGAGATTGAGAGCGAGCGAGTGACGAACATCACACGGCGCATCACGATATTATACTCGGCCTGGTCGACAGCGTTCCTGAGACCGATAACATTGTACGTGGTCACGACGTCCATTAACTTACTGTCCGTGGAATAGATTATGACCGAAAAACAAATGGTGAAAGACGCGGAAAAACAGGCGCCCACGCCTCAAAACCAGGTAAGACAAAAGATTGATTTTCCGCCGTTGTTATTATAATATTATATAATATTAGTATTGTTGTTGTATTGCTCACCACCAACCGCAGAGAGCAACCCCCTTTTTCTCTCTCGAATTCGCGTCTCCCCATCATACTGTATTATTTAGTGGTACGATCATATTATTTACATCGCGCGCTTTCCGCCCGGCAGCACCTTATCACAATTAATCGTCTTGGAAAAACTACTTTCATCTATACGGATCCAAGGGAACATAGTATACACAGACGTTTTATATTTTCTAAACTACCGCATAAGAATAGAATTATTACGATTCTTATAGCGTCGATGGGCAGTACTTTTCTAGTTGTTAATACATAAGGAAAATATACTTTTTTCAATTTTTCTGATTGCGTATCTCTACCAATAGTTGTAACTCATTGTTATTTTGACCATAGATTTTCCGTTACTCTGCGTGTATGAAAATATAGAATACCTAATTATTGTCATTGTTGGAGTCATGTTTTATGTATATATTTGTGTATATACCTATTGATTATTATTTATTGCAACATTATATCTATTAGATAATTGATTTGATTTTTTTTATTGAAAAAGGAATTAATTTTTTTTTTGTAGATATTGAGTTAAACACTATTAAATGTCTATTATCTAATTCTAATAAGTTATTTAAACCTCATATTGAAAAACTTGACGAGAAAAGGTTACATTATCTAATCGCAAATAAACATATATAGTATGCTATGGTAATAATGCCGAAAAAAACTGTAATAATTATGTATTTAGGTACCTAGCTAGGTATACCTACTTAGCTATTGCACATTGTAGTTTCGAAATATTTACTAATCCCTTGCATATTGTGTTAGTCAACAAAATGTTAATCTAATGTATTTAATATAAAACTAAGTACGTATTTTATATTGTTGTATAAGTTATAGTGTTTATAACTAAAATTGAAACATATGTATGTCTCTTGAATTAATGAAAAACATAATCTATGCGTATATATTATGGTACATAAATGCCGGTCGCCTGTACATAAAACACTGAATTCTAATATTTTTTCATGATTAATATTATACTGCTATTAATACAGATATATAAGTCGCGTAATGTATATGGGAGCATTTAAGTTCTATACATACGCTATTATAAATATTATATTAAATCTGCTTTTTTTTATTTTCAATACCATTCTTGACGTTTAGCTGAAATAGTCCTGTGTATAGACGAGTGAATTAATTTTAAGGTCAATTCAATAACCATTAAAAGTCGACTTGTCAGATAATATTATATTATCACGTATATAAAAGAAATATTGGTAAATTGAGAGTAATGAATATATTATTTACTGGGACGTGATAATTATGAGGTCACATAATGTGACATATTATGTACGCGGATGAATATTCAACGACAATATTTACACTTTAAAGCTTTGAACCCGATTGAGTATTAATAATCAAAAATGATTTCAGTCTAAAGATAATTCAATGGAAACAATGTTTCGAATTCATTATTATTTTATACAATTATTATTTATTGACAACAATGACTGTGGTCATTCATCTTTTAAATTCATACCATTTGAATATGGTAGTAATGACAAATTAATTTACGTTTTCGACGCCTCTATAATCGTAATATATAGATTATTAATTATTATTTTATAGCTAATCAAGATATAATTATTCAGTGAAATGGAAAATTTTGTAATATTGGAATTATGCAAATCATTTATAAATTATATTCATATAACATAATTTTTATGTGGCATCTGGAAATAAAAGACAAAAGTGCGTTTAATATTTTGTCATCCAGTTTAATAAATTTTGATTTTTGAATTTTTGTCTCATAACAGTCATAACCTTACTTTTGATAGCCTAATTTGTTTTTTAACTGAGGAAAAAATATGTCATACGTATAGTATCTTATTGGCTTTGAAGAGGCTTCACAATTTCTTAATTTTATTAAATTGTTATATATTGCAATTTACTTATATTACGTAACATTTTTTTTAAGTATTCATTATTGGTTTCCTACTTACCTATATTTATTCTCTCAAGTACTGTATTATGTACTAAGGCTATAAAGAAAAACATGCTATTAAAAAAATTTTCTGACTAAACCAGTATATACGATTTTATAGTGTTTAAGGGGAGGAAGAAATCATAGCCAAATGGCAGATATTAGTAGATAGGTCAAGAAATTTGAAGGGGTGGTTGGGTGATGGTGGAGAATAATTGAGAGTTATAATATTATAAGTAGGTATTACATTATGTAAAATTTGCACCTCAGCAGATCTTATACATTTTGATATATAATTCGAGACAAATTTTACTCAAGGTTATGAAGGTGTATATTAAGTAATTTACTGCACCGACATTTCAAAGTTATAAATTTTAATGAATACCATTTATTTGATACCTCAATACCTAGTTAATAATGTACAATTTTTCCTCAAATCAAAATAATTCTCATAGAATATAGCTGCGTGTATTGCATAATAATAACTATACATATCTATGTATATGAGTAACTAAATTACATTTTAATTAAATGTAAATTAAGTATTATTATTTTTTTTTAATTTTAAATTCAGATAATGATTGAATTACTTATTTTTTGAATACATTTATTTATTTATTTATAAGTCTTTCTAACATTTCAATGAGATCGATTTTTTTATAACAATGAAATAATGAAATACTTACTTATCCACAATTAATAGTTTTGTATTAAAAGTTGACCCCTTCTTCCTTCAAACAAATCTGAGTGATATCTTATTTTTATCTGTACATTATCCGCCCCAATGTGTATAACACTAGTCTACTTGTGGCTGTTTTTAATACTCATAGTGTTTATAAGGAAATTATCAATAAAATAATTGGTTTTTAGTAAAAAAAAAATCCTCTGTGTGATATTTGCCTACGAAGAAAATATGCGAGTGTATATGCTGTATGATAGGTATATAACATTAATTGTAAATCGTAATATACCTAATATAATAAGTATTAGTTAACAATTTATATTATTATCGACTATTTAATGGTCATTATTTCTAATTGTATCGGGAATTTGAACTTAATACAAAATCATTAGCTTGACGAGCCGCATGTATTTGAGTATTTACACCTATTAATAAACGATAATCGATAATTATTAACAAATATATTTACGAAGAATTACCTACGTCAAAAAAGAAAAAAAAATATAAAGAAAATCTATTAATAATAATATTGTCCAGCAATTTTTTATAATGTAGGTACGTATTTCCGGACGTGTGTCCTATTGTATACGCAACTCGAAGTTAATTCCAATTATGTTATACACCGGAAATAGTTATCSGAAATGGTTTATGATGCGCTCTGACTACAATATTAGACTTATGAAATATTTTATTGTGTTTCTAGATAGAGATATACGCGTATCCGTTTGCATTTGTATACGGTTTTGTGTAATTTTTTCGTTTAGAACAAGTTTATAGTTTCCGATCAGGTTGCCGTGAAATAAAAAAATTAAATGATTGTATATTAATATGCACTTGAACCATACTTACAGTCTAGTTACAAACATTTAATTCCAAACGCCTTCGTCAAAATTAATGCGGTTATTATTATAAACGGACTAATAGGAGGTTTATTTCGAAAATCGGAGGTATAGGGTGGCGTCAAGGAGACAAAGGTGAAACAAATAGTGGTTTTGACTTTGGTTCACTGTATACTAATTGAGTCCCTACACCTGAACGGGAAAAAAATAATATACTAATTGAGTCCTGGGTTAGGAAACTAATAGTGTACGAATTGAGTCCAGGATTATTTTGAGTAAAATATAAAATCAACCATCCAGAGTCCAGACATGGCGGAAATTATGCCGCATAGCTGTGCCGCGCGTCAAAAGCCGCTCCAAATGGATATACCTATATATATTATATATGTATCACTTTCATATCATTTTTATTTATATTTAATGCTATGTTTTATTCAGTCCATCCAAACATTTACCAATTTATAAATATTTCGTTGAATGTACAATGCGAAACGTATATAAAAATTAGAAGTGTTCATATAATTAATAAAAGAAATTATATAAAAGAAAAAGAAATCATTGAACAAATTCAGCTGTTGCAATCGAACACAATAACTAGATTTGAATATATACGATGTTGATCCCATACATTTTTACTGGTATAAAAATGTAATTTTATCATCTATTTTTATTTAATTTATACAATATCTGCTAGTAAAATATTTTTAACCATACCTGTAGAATTTTTTGTTACAGACAGACTGAGATGACAGTCCTAAATCTGTAAAAATGGGAAGGAAAATGTTTTTTTTTTTTTAATTTGATGGGACTCGGTTAGTATTAAAACATGGACTCAATGTCTCAATTGGTATATATCTTAAAACAATCCGGCACTCAATTTGTCATAAAAGGTTATACTTGGACTCAGTTCGTGTGCAGCCATTTAGTTCGGTCAGTTTATTAGGATCAAGCACAGAGTAATAATAATAATAGTAATAATAGGGATCAGGTCTGTGAGTTACATGTATAACAACTGCAGTGCAGTCTAGTAGTCTACCGGAAACGCATATTATTTTACATTGTGTATAATCACGGTGCGTGGCTATAGGTACCTACATACCTGTAATGTGTCTCGCGTTTCCGCATTGGTGCCTACAGAAAAATAAAACATAAACACATATTTTATAACAAATGTATAGGTATTCTATTTTATGAAGTTCACATAAATTAATTACAACTGATATGTACGTTTTAATTTCATTAATATTATCGTTTCCGTCGAGGTGCAGCACAATATTTTTGTCTAAAAATTTAAAATCTAATACTATTTATCGTTTATTTTTATTTTTAAGCTCACAATTTTAATTGTTTAACGTTTTATTTTTGTAGTGAATACATGTATTTATGCATAAACATATTAGTTACAATCAAAAGGTATTAGGTATATCTATTGAATTGAATATAAAATTGAAA